CGCGGGTGGAGCTCCTGGCCCTCGGGGGATGGCGAGCATCAGCACCACCAGGCTCCCGAGACGGGCCTGGGTTAGAGGCCACCTGGGCTCCCTCCAGGTCGGGAGGCCCGGGCGCCTGGGCGCGGGAGCTCAGCGCGGAGGTGACCTCGGGCTTGGGTCGTTGGGAGCCGGAAGTTGCGAGCTGGACGTTGAGGTCGGGCGTTAAGTCGGGCGTTGAGCGGGCACAGGACCTGCACATGGGACCAGGCTGGAAGGGCAGAGGCGACCTCCGAGCCTCGCTGAGAGGTTTGGGTGTGGGTGGAGGAAGCCAGAGCCCAGGAACTGGAGTGTGGGCGAGCAGAGGCCCGGGTTTGGAAACAACACTCACTCCTCAAATGTCAAAGGCTGTTGTTTGGTTTACTGTTTGTGTGCCTTTTTTTTTTTCCCCACCCAAAGGCTCTTGGAATCGGTGCTGTGGTTGAAGTCCCAGCTGGAGTGCTGTTGGGACTCCTTAGGTCCTTTCCCTAAACCCGCTTGTCCCCTATAGCATCTGCAGGGTCACCAGGTCATAAGCAAGAGCCCTTGCTGGCCCAGTAGGCGTGTTAACACACGCAATCCGCGGTGTGCCAATCTTGGCACTTGGCTTTTCTAGGGCCCCAGCTGTAGGTAAGTTTCTCCAGCTGGGCCTCCGGAGTGAAAGCAGTCGGATGTCGGTCTTTCCCTGACATCACGGGAATTGCATAATTAGGTATCTGACCCGGCTTCTCAAGTGGGTGTTTGAGTGGGGGTATGGTGGGTGGAGGGTGTCAAAGTTGTTCAACTTTAGAAGTGAAGAAATATACTTTAGTCCTGAGATTCCTTCTGTTTTTAAACGTTCGAACTCCCCTGGGCGTGATGGTTTAACCACTGAAATCCCAGCACTGAGGTTGAGTCAGAAGGAATGGCAAGTTCAAAGCCAGCAAAAACTTGCAGACTCCTTCCTCATGACCCAAAGAAAGGTTGGAGTGTGTGTGGGGTGGGGGGGCGGGGGAGAGGTGTTTGTGTGTCTGTCCATCCTATATGAGGAGTTTGATGCTGTTTGCAGGGAGAAGTGTTGGAAAGCAGCCTCCATTGCCCTAGGTTGAAATGCAGTCTGTGTAGTCCTCATGATAACTTTTGAGGAAGTTACTACTTCTGAGTTTTATAGTCACCGAATCCTAGAAAGATGAGGTGATTTGAGCAAAATAGCATCACTCAATGAGGCAGGCGGGGCTTGGGTCTAGTTTCAGAGCTTGCACTTTTCGGAAGCATTGAGTTCTGCAGCTCTAAACCGGCCTTTCCCGTTGCATAGAATGTCTCTCCTGAAGTGCACAAGGCCACCCCGGAAGGCAAGAGCAAGCTTGAAGGAGGAAAAATAAGCCTGGCTGGGGTGTTTGGGACAGTGTTTGATGGCATTGCCAGATGGTGGGCGAGGCATAGATTATTCATGGTGTACGTTAACATAAAGACCCACTGAAGAACTGCACTGGAAAGTCTATCAGAAATACCTTGGATTATCTGCATATTTGAATCTGAATTAGTGTTTTGGATGTTGCATGTTCAGATAACTGTTTCTGTTGGCAGGTATTTTTCATGGCCCCCAAATTCATTATCTCTTATGTACTGTCAGGATTGTATTAAACTGTATCTAATTTAAAGCAGGAAATGAAATAGAAGTTTTAGGACACAAACCCCTTTCTGCTGTTTGTCTGTTGAAAGCCACCGTAACTGACATTGAGTTTCCGGCTTGGGCTCCCTTTGAAGGATTTGGAAGAATAGGCAGTTTTACCTTCAGGCCACATGTCCACTTAGCCAAAAAGACTTGTTGCTGCACTCCAGGGCTCTTCCCTCTGGGCAGTGAGCACACTGGGCAGACCTTTAGGGTGACAGGCAAACCTCAAGCCAGCAGTGTCCTGACAGGTGTCCCCCCCCCCCAGGCCCTTTTTGCAGCCACGGAAACTCTTTCAGAGAAAGCCATCCACACAGGTCCCTGAAAATGTATTTCTCTTCAGTGTATGAAGCTCAGCTGGGGACTGTCAAAGCAGAATGCCCAAGAAAACCACGGAGAATAGGGATCAGCTGAGAGGAGTTGAGAGAGGATCCGGATGATGAGGCAGGTGGGAGGGCCAGGGCCTCCTGCTTGAGTGGTAGTTGATGTTAACTTGCCGTGGCATAAGATAGAAAGCAGAGTGAAAGCCTGATTTGAACAATGGACTACACCATGCCCCACTAGGAAGAGGTAGTGTTTTACACAGGAGGTAGTGTTTTCAATTGGGAAACGTCTTTTCCTGTTTCTGGGACTTCAGAGTAAGGAATAGTGTAGATCTCTGAGACAATGGTTCACATGCTCTTGAGTTGGTGCAAGTGAATCTGCCAAGCCTGGAATTTATACCTAGTGAGGAATGTTTGCCTACTGTAGGCCAGATTTTGATAGCCAGCTTAAGTCTGCTTGGTATTGCTTATAGGAATTACCTGATATATAATGTTTGAAAGAAGTCACCTAGGTTTATAGTTCTTTCACAATTAAATTCACCTCTTGGATGTATTTCTTCCTCAGACTTCAATGAACATTAAATTGCCACCCGATATGATGCCACGAAATAATTTGGAAGCCTCTACTTGTAAAATGGCAGAGCCATTTAATTTTGAGAAACAGGAAAGCAAGCTTCCACCCCAGGATTCACTAAGAAGCCCTGTAGCACAGCATAACCATCCCAACTTCAGGCTGAAAAGCCCAGAGAATGGAAATAAAAAGAACAGTTTCTTGCTTTGTGAGCAAAGCAAACAGTATTTAACTAGTCAGGAAGATAATTTGGTGGTCTCTTCAAATGCTGCTTGCATCAATGGAGAAGTAGGTGGGTCCAAAGGAGAGAGGAAGGCATTACCAACAGGTGAGTGAAAACTGCACTCTTGTACTTGCTTCTGAGGATTCTGACTTCATTTAAGACCAAATGCCAGTGGCATAACAGAGCAGCCAATGACTACAGAAGAGTTCGTGCATCTAATTATTATTTAGACAGGAAAGCAAATACCAAATAGTGTCTTTGGCTTCATTAATCACAGAAAAGATTCCAGAGGAGGGGATGACTAGAGATGACCCTTTCCAGGGAAGTGGAAAGGAAGGCTCATGGTAGTTTGTAGTGGGAATTGTGAAGTTGCTGTGAAACTGCCTTGCACAGAGTACCATGGATATAATGATGCTAATAGTGCCATGTGATTTGCTTTTAAATAATTTGTTTTCCTTCTTCTGAAAAGCTTGCTCTTTATGGAGAGGAGGGCCTAATGGGATTTAACATCTGGGCGTGTGCGATGTGATCTTTTAATGCTTTGTTAATCCAGTTAGAAGTGTAACCCTCTAGGAGGCCCCTAAGTCAGCAACTGAGGCTGTGCGAGCTGCACACACCTCACAGCTCAGTTTAGGGCTAGCACCAGCCTGGGCTAGTGGTCCTAATAAACAAAACCCAGAAATGCCAGTTTTGTTTTAAAAAAAAAAAAAAAAAAAACCTGCTATGGAACAGCGAAAACTACCATGTTAAACCTTAATGTTTGTAGAAGAATCATCTTTTTTGTATTTTGTATAAGGAAGAAAGGGTTGTTGCCAACTTCACCAGGTATGGAAAGCATAGGACTGCAACCTGAAGAGGACACCAGGGCTCCTTCAGACTTTTGCCAAATGTTCTCTCCAAACTTCATAGTTTTTCCTGCAAGGACAACAGAAAACATTCTGCACTAAGTGAAAAGCAATGTTTAGGTAAATTAGAATCTCAGGAACGTGTAGATGCACTTGAGAGCTTCATGCATGGCGATGCTGACATTGGACATCTGACGTGTTGACCTGTCAACCCTGACAGTTGCTGGAAACTCAGTAAACCAGTGCTCCAAATGGCAGCAGGCCCTGAAGTGTGGAAGTTTGGAAACTCAGTAAACCAGTGCTCCAAATGGCAGCAGGCCCTGAAGTGTGATGAAAAACCACTGTGGAACTTACATGATCTGGAGCTCCACACTGTACTAGCCTAACTTTTTTTTAAAAAAAAAATATACATTTTATTTGAAAATAAATTCTTTTTGTGTAACATATTCTGAACATGGTTTCTCCTCTTCTGATTCCTTCAGATCCACCCACCCGCCCAATTCCACACTCTTTTTAGAAAACAGGCAAAACAGATTAAAAAAAAACAGCACAAGAAACACACAAAACTCAAAGAAAAATCAGAAACCATAATATACAAGCAAAAGATTAGTAAAAGTGAGACTGGCACAGGGGTGCACACACTCTCTCTCTCACACACACACACACACATACATATAAAGCAGCATGAGAAAACATCCACAAGCATACCACAGAACTCACTCTGTGTTGGCATTGACTGCTGGGCATGGGGCTGCCCTTCCATGTGGTTAATTTACCTAGTCAGACTCCTTTGTAAGTAGGTATCAGTTGCAGACAGCATCTTGGTTTGGGGTGAAATATCCTGTCCACTTCCCCTCTGTGCTAAGACCCTGTCTGGCTTGGACTTGTGCAGGCCCTGTGAATGTTGCCACTGTCTCTCAATTCCTAAGTATCACCCTCATGTCTGGAAGACACTGCTTCCTTGGTGTCTCCCATCCCCTCTGGTTCTTAGAATCTTTCCACTTCCTCTTCCTTATAGACCTCTGAGTCCTGAGTTTGACAAAATCCTCTCTCTTAGGACCCAGTGTTTCAAAGTCTCTGCACATTGTCCACCTTGGGACGGGTGCTATATTAGTTCCCATCTACTATGCTGGCTTTTCTGATGGTGGCTGAGTGAGGCACTAATCTATGTGTATTGCAGAATGTTAAGTCATTTTATTGCTTTGCTCCTTTAGCAGAACAATAGTATTTGTTTTTCTCCCGAGTCCATGGCCTTACTAGATTCTTGGGCACCTGAGCAGTGTTGAACATGAGTTCTGTTTCATGGAGTGGGCCTTAAGTTCGGAGAGAGTTGGTTGGTCATTCTCTCAGCTTGTATCATTGTTGCCTCAGTGTATCGTGTCGGCAGGTCAACTGTTGTGGATTTCAGGGTTTGTGGCTGATGGTTTATCTTTTCCCTCTGGTAATGTGCAGTGTTTCTTCCAGTGCCATGAATGCTCATCAGTCGGGGTGAAGGCTGTATGCACCCTCTTGACTTCTCTGTGTTCAATGATAAGCAAGTGTTGTCTTAAGTAGTAGCTTTTACCATCAGTTTGTGGAGAGTGACCAGTAGCCCTGGCAATGCCCTGCATGTGTGGAAATTTTCCATGGGGTCCCTTTGACCAACTACTCAGCCAGATGTAATCCCTCCCTGGCATTGGAGGTTTCACTTGGTAGTGAAAGTTGCGACTTTGTCTCCCTGTTATTTTTGGCGACTCCATTTTGATTTCTTTCGTGCATGTATACATTTTAAGAAGCTTTTACAATAGTAGGTTTCAGTGCAACCCCTGAAATGGCCGTTAGTGTTAGCTGTCCCTGCTCGGTGTCCCTCCTTCATCCCCTCTTTCCCCTCCCTGTACAATTCTCCTTTGTCTTAGCACTGGCTGACTTTGCCATTGGAGTGTTGATGTGCTGTTCCAGGGGCAGTGTTAGCAGCCATGTGAGAAGGTCTGCTGATGCTCCTTTTCCTGTCTGAGGCTGGATTCTCTGAGATACTTAGAAGCAGCACGCCACCATGGGTGACAGCGAATACAGGAATCCAACTAACTTGTTAGGTCATTCATTTAAAATGGCAAAACTAGAGTTGAAAAGGCGTGAGAATGTCTACTTCCTGCCTGGAGAAAAGTTCACAGTGGGAGAAGCAGTAGTCAAGAATGATATGCACACCTGTGATGCTAGAAAATTCTTATTTTCTGTCAGGAAGATGTTTGATTTTTTAAAGTGTAGCTGGGAGGTTGTTAGGGTTGTTAGGGGTTGTTAGGACTCACTGAGTTATGCCATTTTACATGATCAGAAGTGAAAAGTAGTGTCTGGCATGTAATCAGAATTTTGTGTTCCCTCTCCTAGGAAACCCAGTGTCACCATTAAGTCTTGGAAACAGTTCACCACCCAACCAAGTAAAAACTGTAAGTTTTTTTTCCATTGTGGCAATTTTTTGGGCTGTGCTACTACAGAGGCATTTAATTTAATTTAATTTTTTTGTTGTGGCAATTTTTTGGGCTGTGCTACTACAGAGGCATTTAATTTAATTTAATTTTTTTGGGGGGGGATTCAAGGCCAAATTTGCTTTTCTGTAACCTAGACCTCTCTTGGAAAAGTCCTTTGTTTTGTTTTGTTTTGTTTTAGGTAACTGTAGATTCACATGCGGGTAGGCGTTAGGGTTAGAGTGAGGTCCTTTCCATGTAACCTTTATCCAGTGACCTCAAGGGTCATAGCCTGTGCTGACAGAGCATTGCTGTCATCACAGGGTCCCTTACATGCCTTTGCGTGGCCACCTGCACAGGTCCAGCACTCCTTGAACACTGGCAACTGCTTAATGTGTCCAGAGTTACAGTTTTGTCATCCTGGATGCTTCCTCAGCTGAACTCTATTACAGACTTGTCTCTCTCAATAAGTCCTCGAGGATTGGGCTGGGTTTGTAGTATTTTCTTATGCTATATACATTATCCAGTGGAGAAATGTTTGTCTTTTGTCCATTTCCTGGGTGGGTCATTTGGGTTTTTTAATTTGTAAGTTTTGAAAGTTCTTTTTATGCTTCAGAATCCAAGTCTTTGTTTGTTTTGTGAGGCATGGTTTGCTTGGCCTTGTTTCTGCCTCCAACCTTGTCTTTTCATCTCCTAATGAAGCCTTTTAGGAGATGTCTAGATGATCAAATTTTTCTGTAAGTGTAGAACCTTGGGTGTTAAGACTGTAAATTCTTTGCTACTCTAGATCACTCAGACATGTTCCTCGTGAGAATGTCTCATGGTTTTATATTTTGATCCCTTTTGAGTTAATTTTGTTTAAGGAGCTTGGGTTGTGGTCTTGGGTTTTGTTAGGTGTTCTGTTGTCCTGGTGCTTTTTGTGGGAAAGTTAGCTTTTCTTGGTTGTCTGTGAATTAGTCAAGTCAGTTGATATTTTCGAAATTACAGATGGCACAGAACATCTCTGTTCTTCATTGCTTTCTACTCAGTATGCCCTCCTGTCAGTACCATGGGCACATAGCCAGAGAGTCCTGAAATGGAATTATCATTCATCTTTATTTTGCTTTTCAAGACTGTAGCTTCTTTGCCTTCAAATAGACTGATTAGAATAATGTTGTCCCCATATCTACAGAGTAATCCTCCTCCTCTGATGGTGGCAGGAATAGCGTGGAATCTGTCGCCCGATGGAGTTAGGTTCTTCTGTCCTGATCTGACCCACGACATGCGTGTGTTTGTATAGTCTTTGATTCCTTTCACTTTGCGGTTTTCAGCCCCTATGTTAAATCTTATGTTAGATTTATGGAGTTAGGTTCTTCTGTCCTGATCTGACCCACGACATGCGTGTGTTTGTGTAGTCTTTGATTCCTTTCACTTTGCGGTTTTCAGCCCCTATATTAAATCTTATGTTAGATTTAGGCAGAAGAGTGTTTCTTGAGTGATTGTATCCTTGAGTTCATTGCTAAGAAGCAGAAATGGTAGAGCTTTCTTCTTGTTCTTGTGTCTTTGTCGAAGGCATTTATTTTAGGACTCAAATCCATTTCTGTGATGATTAATATAGTGATGGATATTTTAGTCTGTTATTTTTGTGGGTCACATTAATATCTTAATGGTACCTCTAAAATAAATACCATGTGGTCATGGAATGTTAATTTTTTACTGTTTGTATGGTTGATGTCAATGGAAATATTGATCTTGATAAAAGAATTCTGTTTCCTCAAACTTTTTTTGTTACTGAAATATTTGGTAGAATTCTCTAGTGAAAATAACCTAGAGTTTGTCATTTCTTTTGGGGGTCTTAAACTGTGATAGAATTTCCTTAATATTTATAACGCTGTTCAAATTATTTCATGTTATTTGTTAATAAATTTTTAAAACTGGTCTGCTACTTGTGTAGTCATGTCTATGTATACTGAGTCCAGTCTGTTCTGGATTAGTTATGTGATGTGTGTAGGGTGTGTAGTTCAGTTGTATTCCATTTTATTTATTTGACTTGGAGACATCAAGCTTTAACTTGGGACTTTTGTTCATGTGGAGGTCTGTGTTTTTCTCTCAGTGGAGCTTTGACAGTGTCCAGTGTGCTTTAACTCAACCTCTGAGACTCTCACATTATGTAGAAGTGTTGTTTTGTCTGGGTGTTTGGCACGATGATCTTACTACATTCTGTTTGTTCATTCCCAGCTGGAGTTTACTGTGGTCAGAGGAATCTGTGTGGTTCCATTTCAGCCTCCTTTCTTAGCTCTGTGTTCCTTTCTTGTGCTGGCGAGGGAACCTGGCTCTTATGAACAGTAAACACAGGGGACACACACCACTGAGCTGTGCCCCTCCCTGAAGTCCTTAGGGCTGTGGTTTGATTTAAAGCTTAGGTTCCAGGCTTGCACTTTCGGAGAGTGCGTGTTTTGCCCTGGCAGAACCTGTCGACTGACAGGATGCCTAGTTCTGATCCTTGCTGTTTTTCTGTCTAGTCTGTCAGTGGTCCAGAGAGAACATTTACATCTCCAGCTGTGCTCACTGACTGCCTTTCTTGTCCCAGCTTCACTTCATAACATGGAGCTCTGCTGTTGACCCATACGAGCCCAGGACTGTGAGGTGGTCTTGTGGATTGACCATTTGTTTGGTCATACACTGTCCTCTGTGGGAATTATCTCTCCTTTGTAATCTGTTATCTGATGACGTGCTGTCCCCTGGCCTCTGTTAATTCACGGTCATAGGCAGTGCTCCACCTTTGTACGGCTGGAATTTCTTACACAGGATAAATTTGAGTCACGTCTTGTCAATGCGTTCACCCATATTGCAAGCTCCTCTTCTGCCATCCTGTCCCTCTGCATTCTTGTGAACACCTCTTACTTCATTTTGATTGGTACATATTTCTGAATAGCTTTCCTGGGGGTTACTGTAAATTTTACATTATATGTACGCAGTATATGTGTTTTAAATTTATGTTTTACAATATTTAAAATATTTTATATACTTTTATATACTTATTTAAATTAGTTTTTAGCAATTGAGCATAGTTAGTGCCTACTCTGCTCCATGTCAGAGTTGACCTCATGCTTTCTTTGTGTGCTAACTTTAGGGCTTCGGTTGTATGCAAAGTCTGACCTACACTGTTACCATTGAGGCAATCCCAGTGGAGTGCTGAAGAGACATTCTAATATTGCTGTTCTTTGTTCAAAATAGAAGCCCAGCAATAATGAGTCTCCTGAAAAAACAAAAAAGTCCCACAAGCTGTTTGAGAATGCCTTGTCTGTAAACAATCCAGCACTCTTCAGCTCTTTAGGACCACCCCTGCGGTCAACAACCTGCCACCGCTGTGGCCTGTTTGGTAAGCAAGCTCCCTTGGGCTGCTGAACAGCTTGCTTGTTCTGTGCACTGGAGAATGTTTTGTTATGTGAGCATTAAATGCGTTGACTATAAATGGTGTGTGTGTGATGTTGTGTGCCCTTTACTCATCTCCAGCAGCCTATTGCTCTTCACACCTTCCTGTCCTTCCTGCTTCTGTTATTTTATGATTTTTAAACAAAGATTACATGTTCTGAAATGCACAGCAGCACATCTTATCAAAATAGAGACCACTTCTGTAGCCTTAGAACCCACTTTCCTGTCCCTTTCCCACCCCCCACCTCCATCGGGAATCCTATTGTACTCTGTCACATAAATAGAATTACATAGCCATAGGCCATTTGTTTACATTTTATTTCATTTAGATTGGTTATCAGATTAATCTGTCAATGTATCAGTTATTTGTGGAGAGATAGTAATAGATAGTAATTGCATGACTGTATCACTGTTTTAAAATGTATTTGCTAAAATGAATAGATGGCTGTACGCCTTTGCCATGTAGAATGTGGTGTTTTGGTAGGTTGCCTGTCTGTTTTGTAAGAGATGTTGTGCTCATGTCTAGTTTTTGAGTAGAATACGTGATCATGTTCTGTAAGAGGCCACAAAGTGTTTCCTAGGTCACTTCCCATGGTTCATAAGTTGTGCTTGTCCAGGAGCTTTGATGACAGTCTTCCCCATGGTGGACAGTGTGGCTCACAGTTCTGGTTTGTAGTCTCCTAAGAGCCTGCCAACTTTTCCATAAGCTTACTGGCTACTTGGAAATGAGCGGTTTTTTTTTGTTTGTTTGTTTGTTTGTTTGTTTTGGGGGGCATTGAAGCATTTAAGATCTTTTTGTTTGCTTGTTTCTTATTAGTTTTCTTCTACCTGGAGACCAGTAGGATTTTATTTCAGAAGTGTCCCTGTTTCCCCAGTGACTCTTCCCCCTTTTGTTTTGAATGACACATGGGAAATCATTTCCTGTACCTGCCATGCACCCTCCCTTCCCCGTGGCAACCCTGTGCCTCTGTTTCTCATTTTGCAGTGTATGCCCCAGGCTCTCCTGGGGAAGTCTGCATCTCCAGCCTGAGCTTGAGCTGTTTCTCTTTCTGTATTTGAAAGAGTCTTACAATGCCTCCCAGGGCCTGACCAGTGTCTGCATGGTCTTCCTTAGTGATTAGCACAGTGATGTGTGACCAGCTGCAGCTCTTCAGTGTTTTGAATACATATTTATTTTAAAAATAATTTGTTTTTGTGTGTGGGTGTTTAGTTCATATGTGTGTTTTTCATGTGAGTACATTGCCTGAGGAAGCAGAAGAGGGCAGTATATCCCCTGGAACTGGAGTTACATAGAGGGTTGTAAGCCACCATGTAGGTGATGGGAGCCGACCCTGGGTCCTCTAGAAGAGCAGTCATTGCTCATAACCACTGAGGTCCCTCTCCAGCAAGCCTCTTCTGTGCCTTAAACTGAGACCAAGTGTGCTCTGCAGGGTCGCTGAGGTGCTCGCAGTGCAAGCAGACATACTACTGCTCTACAGCGTGCCAGAGGCGGGACTGGTCCTCCCACAGCACCATCTGCAGGCCCGTGCAGCAAAGGTGAGCTCTGACAGACACATGTCGCCATAAACAAGGATTGCACGAGCTAAGCAAGCCTAAGCTATCTATGTGCTTGGTGTCATTTTGTAACCCCCTACCAGGCCTGCTTGTAAGTCTGAAGCACTAGCTGGTGCTTAGCAAGATTTAGAACCTCAAAGTGAATTTTTTATCTTAGATTCATTTTACTATTGTGTGTATGTATGTACACCAAATGTGTGTCTGATGCCTGTGGAGGTAGTGAGCTTCCTTGTAGGAAGCTGGGAATTGAACCCTGGTCCTTTACAAGAGCAACAAGTGTTCTTAACCACTGAGCCAACTCTCCAGCCCGTCAAGGGAATTTCCGATGGCCAGAACTTCACAACACCCACTAGTTGTTGTGGGTGCTTTCCTGGGTGTTAGTGTTGCAGCCTCACAGTGCCTCACGGGGTAAGGTCAAGTTTACACAAAGGTTCCCTATGGGCTGCAAGGACTGTCTGCTTTTCACAGACGAGGACACGGAAGCCTGGGCTGTTAGGCCTTGGTTACTGGGGGCTTTAGAGGAGACACACTGAACAGCATGGTTAAGCCCTTTCCTGGGTACCTCAAGGCTATTGTTCTCTGCTGTCAGCATCACTCTTGGAAAGTTTTTGCCCTTCTAGATTTTGTTGATTGAGAATTCTAACAAAATTGAGATTTATGACTCCTTAAAGAGTTTCTTTGTACTGTAAGAATTATAATCAGTTGTCTTATTTCAGTTTGCACAAGCTTGAAGATAATAAGTTACCATATGAAACAAAGAGCATTGAAGTGAAAAATGAGGTAGGATATATTTTGGCATTAAAGTAAATTCTAAATAACTCTCCTTTATGAAGGCTTGAGCAAGCTATTTGGAACTTCTGCATCACACCTGCATTCATTTCTAAACAAAACAAGACACCATTAATTCCATACCCAGTAATGGTGGGGTGGCATAGTATGATGACAGTGGGGATTGGGGGAGCTGCTTGGGGCTTTTGAGAATTGTTTATTTCTGTCTTTCCCAAAAATGTTCTTGAGACAGCCATGTTTCTGTACAAAGTAATGTGGACTATACAGAGCTTTTGCTTTAGAGCTGCAAAAGCACAGGTTCTTCATCTGTGGGCCTTCATTCTAGGCCTGTCTCTCTCATATTTTGTATTAGCTCTTTTCCATTTAGGTAATTCTATGGACCAAAGCATTGGTTCTACCATTGTGTCCAATTCATATTCATAGAAAATTCTCATCTCTGTAGCTGCTACTACCTCCTACAAAAAAAAAAACACTTTATAACACACTAACAGGTAAACATTTAAACTTTTAAATGTTGCCAGATGTAGGGGCAAACCCAGAACTTGAGAGATTGAGGCAGGAGGATGGCTTTGAGTTGTAGGCTAGCTAAGGCTCCATAGTTTCAGGCCAGCCTGCATTATAGAGTGAGAGCCAATTCCAAAAACCAAAATAAACATTCCTTAATGTTGCATGGATTAATCTGTGTAGCCACCTGAAGGTTATCTTTTCTGTCACTCACCCTCGTGCTTTGGACCCCTGTTGTGTCCCCTGCCTGTGGAAAGTGGCTCTTGGGAGTTCTTAGAGGACTTGCAGCTCCCGTGCTTTCTTATTTATGCTGAAAGAGGAAGACTTTGGCCACCATGCCTTTGAAAGTCATGTTTGTGTATCACAACTTCCTGTGCTTTTTCCAAGCAGAGCGATTGTCCCCTTGGAATTCCTGAAGAAATGACTACTAGTGCTGAACGAGTGATGTTCTCTGATTTGAGAAGTCTCCAACTCAAGAAAACCATGGAAATAAAGGTATTTGTTGACCTTCCTTGGAGAGAGATGGAAAGAACTGCTGGGTGGTTTATTCCTTGTTTGTTGTTACTTATATTGAGTTTACAGTGTAATGAAGCACATCTGATGAAATCAATAAAAATTAGGAAAACTGCACTACTTTTCTCTCTTGGGTATAAAATTTAAGGAATGTTTTTTTTTTCCCTCCTGACTTTGAAAGGGCACAGTTACTGAATTCAAGAACCCAAGTAACTTTTACGTCCAGTTGTATTCTTCAGAAGTTTTAGAATACATGAACCAGCTCTCTGCAAGCTTGAAGGAGACCTATGCAAACACAGTACCTGAAGATGGCTACCTTCCTGTGAAGGGGGAAGTTTGTGTCGCCAAGTACACGGTTGATCAGGTAACCACCGGCAGGTGAATTGTTAAACAAGTGTGCTTCAGCTCCCCTTGTTGGGATCACTTCATGAAGACGGAGATATCAGAGCTGCACGAGTTGGCTTGGGGCAAACCCAGGTCATCCTTGTCACACCCCTCCCTGCATTGGCCCCCCAGGCTCTGCTGCTTCATTCCCAATGACTGTGTGCACTGCTTGCTGGCCTTCAGAGTTGCACTGGTGTGTAGTGTGTGGAAGTCATCTGGGCTAGAATAACTTGAGTTGTCCATTTAGACCATTTGGGGGATTTCTCACAGAAAGGTTGCTTTTGAGCACCTATAGAGGAAATGGGAGCCTTTTGTTTACCTGGCCTCTGGCTTCATAGACTAGGATTGCAAAATTGTTTTCAAGCAGAATGTCCCCTCTTTCCCTTGCAGACCTGGAACAGAGCGATAATACAAGGCATTGATGTGCTACAGAAGAAGGCTCAAGTCTTATACATTGATTATGGAAATGAGGAAGTAATTCCCATAGACAGAATTCACCAGCTAAGCAAGAGCATTAACCTGTTTCCTCCTTCCGTGAGTCTCCTCTTTGTAAATTCCTGTCCTCATCCCCAGGGAGCAGTGACTGTGTTGCCATGGACACACTGTTAGCTGCTGTTTTCCTGTGTCACTGTGCCCACCGTCCTGTCTGACAGTGTGGATGAATACCCTGTAGCTGGATTCTTGCTGTTGTCCCTTTCTAAGTAGCATCTCTTGTAAATTACCTTTTCAGGGATATCTTAACAGCTGTATAAAATCTGCCATTTCTTTATATATTATTGGAAAGAAGCCAGAACTGATATATAATAAAGGTAAATTTATTCCTTCTGTTTCTGAAGCTTCAGTTACCAACAGGTAGCGTTGCCAGTGAGAAGCATCAGAGAGTTCAATATAACCACATTTCAAGATGGTTTCCTGATTAGTTTTGAAGGCTTTTGATGATGCTTTTTAGCATGAAGTAGATTCTTTTTAAAACTCTTTTAATAACTAGTTAGACACTTTCATTTTAAAATACTGATTCTTGGAAGTAACTTGCACAAAATCTTTCAGGCGATAAAGTGCTTTGTGGCAGGTGTCATCCCCGCTGAGGGTGAGTGGAGCGGAGACTGTGTCGCAGCTGTCAAGGCACTACTTCTGGAGCAGTTCTGCTCAGTCAAGATCGTGGATGTCTTAGAGGAGGAAGTGCTCACCTGTGCCGTTGATGTTGTGCTGGAAAGTTCGGGTAAAGATGAGAGTCTGCCATGCTGTTTAGTTCTGTTTCTCAGAGGAGCAGGAGAGCCGTGGATAGGAAGGGTCCTGTGTTAGCCGTTTGTCAAAACTGTATGGAATTAGATGGTTTAGAGGGCCAGATTCGGGCTAACATGGGGTAACTATATTATTATCCTTTTGATATGTCATTGCAGTGCCTGTTCATGACTTGTGCACTTCATGGGAAGAAATTAATGAGTGGCTCTGAGTGTTCTCATGCCCAATGCGGTTTTTCTTGGAGCACCTCCCCCATCACTTTCTCCCTCCTTCCCTCCCTCCCTCCCTCCCTCCCTCCCTCCCTCTCTCT